TTGTCATAATTATCTCCCGCTCGTGAACAATTTTATAAATGATTATCGCATTCATATAACAAAATTATCATATAAAACTTTTTGCAACGTACATTATTAATATTTATACAAAATTGATGTCGTTGTCATCATTGTTTGTACTCGACCTATTAAAAGCCGTTTAATTTCGATAAAAATGCGACGGTTAAATATGCTTTTCTGTCAATATGTTGAACATATAGGCCGGCGTAAGAACTGAGTAAACAGAAATCGCAGTATGATTGGGAACGAATTTATATCCGGGTAGGATTGTGTGAAATAAAGCGATCGTTCCCGGCGTCTGTTCGATTTTCATGGAAATTATAATAGCTCGTCGCTGTTCCTCCGAAAGTGCCGTACACCAAAATTCCATGAAAATTCGTTTATCGCGAGCGGGCAGACACGACACGACAAAATTAATCGACGCCATCGACGCACTTTGATGTGGAATTTTAACGCTTTTTGCGCTCGATGTATTCCCGCTATTTGTTCCTCTCCAATCGCCTTTTTTTTTGCACAGACGATTGTTAAACTGTAAAAAGGAAGTCATTACAAATGACAAATTAATTACATTGTTCAACGAGGATTTTGTTCTTTGCCCAAATTGGGGTATCTTTTGAACATTTATTTACGATTTCGAATATGCGTGCAGACATCAATGTTCAGTTTTGTTACATGTATTAACCCTTTGTAGACAAGCTATAATAAAATATTCTTACTTTATAAATGTCTGAAAAAAGTTTATAGAATTTAAAGAAGTTTGGTATTCTTTTAGAAATCTTTATAAAAATTTAAAATATGAAGAATTCTTTAAATTATTACAAGATATAAGATTTTTTTCTCCAAGGTTACATTGACGAATGAACCGTAAGTTTCATATCTTTGTGTTGAAATTTCAATTTCACCTTATCTCTGTCGGTTTCGGTATCAGTTCTCATGTCGTGAATCACGATTCGGGCGAAACGCACGGCCCATGTCACCGCCACGCCAATCGAGATCGGGTTCCGAATGTATCTCCTGTGAGATTGACACTTTATTGCGGTCGTATATACGAGATTAGAGAAGACGGCATTCCACCATTCACCTATATGCTCGGACTTTCTGGGCGTTACTTCTGGCGGCGTCGCCGATTCAATATGTGAACTTGTTGGATTTATCGGATTGCCCTTACCCTCTAGCCTTAGCTGCCGTGACTCGTATTTGCGTCACGCTTCTTCTACAAATTGCCGACCTGGGCAAAATGTCGCATTTTGTTTCCTTCCGACAAAGAACCTGCTTGCAACACTGCACTTACACGTACGCCGATCGCCAACATCGATTTCAATGTTTCTTAAATTGTAAAACGTACAATAGGAGTTTCCATTTTCATATCAAGATATATCTGCATCTCCAAGGTATTAATATTATATCTAAAGAATACAAATACTCTTATACTTAAATGTTTTTGTAATATTACAAACTTTGAATCATTTTTAGTGTAAGAAAAGGAAATAATCATTTTAACGTAGTTCAAAGCGTTGTGTTAGAATATGCTGCCAGAAAAATTAATCCGAATATTTAAGATATAGTAGCATGTAAATTGTACAGCATGTTATTTTTAAAATATATGGTACCTCATGTTAACTTTTAAAAGATATAACATTTCTTATTGAATAATTTAATTGCTACAAATGACCAAACATCTCTATCAGATGATAATTAAGAACCATTATTAAACATTAAACGTCAGGGATATCGAGACGAAAATTATTACATGAAACCAATCCAAAGTCATATAAAATAAAAAATTAAACGCTCAACACTTTTGATTTGTTATCTAATTTCAATAAAACTTTATTATATACTGAAAAAAAAAATGTTCTTTTATTTTTCTCATAAAGCAGATCTAATGAAAATATTTCGATGGCAGATTATATGACATATCTAAGATAATTATCAATGCAATTATCAGCATTGATAAATATCCTACAAATAGTCCTCATATACTCTTGTAATAAAATATAAGTATTATTATATTACAGCGTGTTAAAGCGACAGAGAAAAGTGGATCTAGTAGACATTGTTTTTCAATTAAAATAGCAATCGAGCCTTGGAAAGCTGATGTTTGAGATACCTTTAAAAAATGATGGAATCAATTAATTCTATTGAATAAACAAGTGTCTACAGCCTAAGGGCAAATATATCGAAAAACAATAGAGCAACAATTATTCATTCTGTTTGTCAATTTGCGGAAATTTTCGACGTTGTTTATATATGTGTATTCATGTAGGTATATAAATTATTAACTTGATACTAAAATATTGTTTTCGAATAAAAAAGGCCGAAAACTGCACGTTTTTAGTAAATATATAATCCAACAGGTAGGGATAACTAACTACTGTAATCGGCTAACATGGCCGACCAGCACGAGAATCGAAACCGTCGACAGTGGAGCTAGCCGGAAATCGATTACATCCAACAGTAAATAAAATAAATCGACGATTTAAGCGGACGTAACGGCACACTGCGGACGACATTAAATAGGATGACAGAATGTAGTACAAAATACACAGTACGAACACATAGTAACACTGCGCGCGTCGCCTGGTGTTTTTCACGACGGTTTTCAGTATTTTTCACAGCGTTTTTGTTTCAGTTATGAAAACGCCATGCGTGATCGGCGCATTTACCGCGCGTACATTTTAGCTAGCTCGCGATGCTGTTCATAAAACGCAATATCCAGCTTTACGAGGTGCTCAGCGCGAACGGCCGCACGCTTCTAAATAATGATACAACTCGTTCGGCTAGTCGATCATGGCACCACGTGCCCGGAAAAATCCATAAATGTTGCTTCACTTTGCTAGATTACTAACAGCAGCACTTAAACATCCCATCGAATCGTTAATTAAATGACAGGCATCGATCGTCAGGTCATGGATCACCGATCGATAAATTCCACTCGGACGCGCAGCGATCCCCGACGCGTTAATGAATACGCCGATCTATTCGCGCTCAATAAGCGGGCAAGCGAGCATTTCGTTTCATATCAGAATTCAATGATAGTATGCGATTTAATGTAAAAAAATATCGCAGATACGACAGAAGCAATATTTATTTTATGCAATGTGAAATATGTAGTAAATTATTGATATGTACGGTTTTTAGTATAAATACTAATAAAACACCAATTACAAACGCGCGCGCACAGAAGCAATAAATATTGTAGATAATAGTCTCAAAGAGAGAGAGAGAGAGAGAGATATAGGAATATTTCTTCTTTTTTAACAATACTTCTCTCAAGGAATATTTTCAATTTTCCTACCAACAGTTGTTATTCCAATACCTTTTTTTTTACAATGTATATATTTTATATCGAATGTGGATTCGTTCTATCCGATTCGAAATAAATAGCTTTCATTTTCACTGAATTAAAACATTACATAACTAACATGCGATAACAACGATTAGATAAATAATGAATTTCATTTACAGCGCTTTATGTGACAGTGATTTAATGTCATTACGAATAAAAAGAAATCAACTGTATTCACTATTTTCAGTGAAAAAATAACGCTGCGAGAAGCATCCGAAATGTGAATATATTACTCACACATTTAAATTGAAAATAAACCAATTACATTTAACGTCAAACGCTAGTGACTAGATGATTGATCGGAATTAAACTTTTATTTCTATTCATTACCGACTAAATATTTATTGCCAAACCCACGAACTCTATCGAGCAGAAATCTGTTCTCTATCCACAGTTTCCAATTAAATACCGCCACTAGGGATATCCGAGGTGCGACAGTTGATCTTTCCATCTCCACCTAACCTAGCCATCCAACTCCGCAGACGTGTCACTTGCAGAGATCGCAGCAGGTAAACGTGCAGTGGTGAGACCAGCCGAAGCATCGACGGCGGTGTTATCGATCTACTTGATCGTGTAACCGGCAGGAATCGATAACTAATACGCGAAGCCCACCACCGGATGTTGCCTTGTTGATAAAGGACCGCCCTGCGAGTATCGGCGGCATCAAGGACGCCGCAGGAGGGCCGTAGGGCACGCGGCTACCGGCACATAATTGATTGGCATTAGCGCGCCTGATTGCCAGTCGCCCTCCTCTGAAATCGTCCCACGGGTTGCTTAAATACTAGCCAACGTCTCTCTGAACCAAACAGTATTTGAGCGGTTGCGACACTAATCAGGCAATATGGTGCGAGCGATGAAGGAAGGTCAATTGGCGAAGGCTGGACTCGTCACTTGCTCTCCCATAACATTGACGTTGAATAATTCCATATACGCGATAAACAAAACAGCTCGACGTTTATCGCACATTTTCATGCATATACATATTCTGCCCGTATATACAGATGAAAATAAATAAAATTTAACAACTACAAAATTATCGATTTCCTAATGAATATACAAAATCGAAAATAAGAATTAACATTAAAGAATCCTCTTGTAGGAAATAATTGATTCTTCGGTGACGCTCAAACAAATAACAAACTTCTTGTCAGAGACCTTCTTATTACAGACTGTATACATATATCAATCGTGAAATCGTGAAAAGAAGATCACTCTCAGCTACATTTTTAAAAACTTGGCATAATAAAAGCAAAGCTTGGATAGGACAAAAAAGATTGCAAACGAAAGGATTAAAAATATGATGATTGCCGGAAGAGATAAAATTTTATTTAGAGAAGGTATAAATAACATTTTATTAAAAATTATAAATTAAGAAGCTATTGTTAAATAATGGAATAAATTTGTTATGAAATATAGCTTTCATTATTTTATTTATAACGCATAACAAAAAATAAATATTTTTAAGATAAGTCTATTTTTATCAAAAGCTTAAGGCTTCTCTCTACTGATGATAGTCAGGTATGTATAGAATATTCTTCGATAAATTGCAAGATAGTATAGTATTAGAAAGTTATCCTGTATCAGCATACTTCTCTATAACAATAAGTGAATGTTCGGAAACTTGTCTTACCTGAAGACAGTGTCTCCTCGCCAGCCAGCCTATATGCTGAAGCTGCTGTGGATCTGGAAGTGCTGAGGCCAGTCGTAATGCTTTCAAGGTGAGGGCTGCCAACGCCGAGTGCAAAGCATTGAACCAGACGTTCGCTTCCGTGTTGTCAGCGGCTCTCAACCAGCATTCGTGAACACCATCAGGTGAATGTAATTCTAGGATACGCCCTTCTACAAAAAAAAAAGAAGAAAGAAAGAGATAATTTTTTATATTCTTTGAAATGATAAAAATAGTTGCATGTAATTATCATTGTTAACTTTTTATAGATGTGTATGCGGAAAAAATAATTTTACTGAAATATCTAAAAATGTAGCTAGCCACAGATCTGAAAATAATATTATTGGACCATCAAAATATTTATATAGCGTATTATGTAACAAACATAATGAGCATGGGAAAAAATGTTGATATTCTAACCACCAGCTTGAGTGTTTCATGATGATTTTGACGGTCTAAGAAAATTATTTTCATATCTATATTTAACTTTTTAGACATTCACTACAGGAAAACCGTTCTTTCTCTATAGTAAACTATTATATCTCGAACATAGCATATGTATATTCTCATTTCTAGAAAATTTCTGAAACAAGCTTTATTCCGTGATTATATGTGTGTGTATATATATATATATGTACATATATATATCATAGTAAAATATATATTTTTAATATATATTTTTATGGTCAATACAATTTTATGCTGTACATTATTTTATTTTTATTTAAAAAATTATCATTAAACATATTTAGAAAACAATATTTTTATACTTATGATACACTTAATTCTTATAATTATTATATTACGATCTCGAGTATTAAATTTTACCTTGAAAAACGTATAAGAGAGAGAGAGAGAGTACGAAAGTAATTCAATCTACAATTCCATTCTTGAAAATCTATTTAACAATTTCATTACATCAAGAGCTATCGAAATAACCACTTTTTTCGTGAAAGTTGGGTTCTACGAGTTATACGTGGCAAAAACGAGACAAGCGACGGCACCAGAATTGAACTTGCTTGGCGTCTCGCTACTGGTAGCTTATAAACCTTCCTCTCTTTTCGTTAACACGAAAACTTTAATACATCTGACATAAATCGCGCAAGATCGGTCACGAAGGCCTGAAGTAAGTTTATAATCAGAATATCGTCGGTGCTAGAGATTGTCTCGCTTTTCGACATCCCATACATAATTCGTCTACATGTACTACAAGCCTAGAGAACTTTGCAATTTCCTGTTTGGCTAGTTTCTAGATTTATTATGCTAATATACTAGGCTCGTTTTTCAGCAACAATAACAACTACACCACTGTAGCTTGTTATCGATCCGTAAAAATATATCGCAAGTAAAATTTCTGATATTTAGGATTTACGAGTATCAATTATAATATAGCAGTTTCTTATATTTTAGATATTTTATTTTGTTGCTAGATAAATATTATTAATTATTTAAATTTTTCCTTATATGTAGATGACATAACTATACGCAACAGAATATCATTACAGTAATTTTGATGTAAATTTCTCTTCCTGCAGTATAAATGAATTTGATAAACACTTTCACACAAGCCGAAATTGCAACCACTTCTTTCGCTTGGCAAGCCTAAATTCACGTCAAACTCATCGGCATTTCGTACGGAAATGTACCTTGACGTGCTCTTTTTTCCGATTCCGTGTACGCATTCTAATCGCCTTCTATCGAGAAACGGCGCGGAAAGTTCCGGAAGCAGTAAACTCGTGCTACGTGTGCGGAAAGGCGCGGCGGCCGTAAGAAAATATTGAATTTCCGATCAAAAGGAAATTACGCTCGAGTTAAAAGCCTCTTTATGTCACTCCCGTCTACCCGGCCTTTTCTGCCTAAAAAGAGGTAAACGAGACGAGCACTGCTCTTGCGAAAGGGGACAGAAACATCGGGAAACGTAGCGTGATGTCGAAATGATAGGATCACGTGATTAATGCTTTCTCTCATCTATTTTATTGTAAAGGGAATTTAATCGATCAAGTATATTCCGTTTAATCCTGTAGCGGAAAGCAGGAAATTGGTATATCATAAGTTACAGCGTTCCAAGCGCGGGATTGAATCATGTAGTATATGACGAACCACATTTGCAATTCGATATTTCACATTATTTTACATTCTAGTTAGAAACTATTAGAACTTTACATTCTATAGTTAGAGTTAGAACGAGATATCTGAAATAAAAACAATAGTTTATTTTAAGCTTACTGACAAAATTACAAAATTGCATTACTTAAAGACATATCATATCTGCAGTAGACGCAGCCAGATAAAAAAGAATTATTTGTATTAAACAAACGAGGCTACCGCGAAATTTATCATTCGATAATCACGTTCAAGTGCAAATGTATTCTGTAAAAGAACTGTGAAAAGTGTTTTAGATACGCCCTGATACTATTCTTGTCGAGTTTCAGCCCACTCTTCAGAAAAATGCACATCTAACGCCGTGTTATCCGGTCGAGCAAATTCTTTGCCAAAAATCACCTACCGTAATCGCATCCGTCTGCTGTAACGTTGAAAATATCACTTATATGTACATATACATATATAAAATATAAAGTAACATATGTATCATATATCTTTAGATTGTTTCGCGCGCGCGTGAAAAGATATAAAAAAAGGTTCTAACGCAGCACATCCGATCTCAATCTTATCTAAGAGTTATAAGTCATTTATCCCTGATAAAAAAATCCATGTGTACCATGAAATGTATTGAGATCGAATTATCGAAGATGTTGACTCTTTTCTATGTATGTGATTGGTCGATACAGGAGTTTTATAAAGGAAATGACGAAAGAGATACAAAAAACGCGCGCGTAGTACACGCTGTATGCTAGTAATTAAAAAAAAAACAAAAGATTCTAGAATAATGTTCTATATATACTTCTATATATGTATATATATTTCTTGAATCCTAAAAAAAATTGTCAATATCTATATTCTAAAATGTTACCAAATTTGCGATCGCATTCGAGCGTGCAATTTCATCGCTTACTCATGACCCCGATACACGGAAATAACTCTCGTAATTACTAGATTTTCATTATACAATAATTGCACAAAAAACGAGAATTGATTGAAGGTCCAGACATATCTCTTTTATGAATAATTCAGTATTGGAAAAATTAACACAGCTATTTACCAATCGCAAAACGTGCCTTTGCACGTTTTTCGCTTGCTATTACGAGGAAAATTTTCTTTGTGGTTTTTCACATACGGTGCGTGCCTTTTCACCAGAATGCACACTCTCGTAAAATCTATGAAAAATCGCTTGATTTGCATCAAACAGTCTTGTGAAAGATCTTTATGCTCGTTATACGGAAGTAAAAAAGAAAAGATGCAAAATATACGAAGATAGAGATATTAATACAACCATAATTGTAGTAAAAAAAAACTTTCACCTTTACGAAAAAATAAAATTAAAATTGGAACTAAAAATAATTCTGATTTTGGTCTATTAATTCGTAACAGGAACACGTATTTTTCAACGTTTAAAGGAATATATGTATGAATATTTGGGACTTAAAGATTTTATTATTTTTATTGTTTGTTTTTTTAGAGTTCTTGTTAATTTCATTTTTTTAAAGAATTGTTTACGTACAAAATAGTGTAAAATAAGATTGTAAAACGTGAAATTATTGCAAATCATTATTTATTATTTAAAAATTAGAAAAAATTCTAGAATCATCGAGATCAAATATTTTAATTATAGGTTAAATGATAAGTAAAAGTACAATACTAAAGAGAAAAGAATGATCAAAATCATAGAAAATAGTAAAAAGCTTCAATGTCTATACTAATTCATATGATGCACACACATTCTTTGTATCGTACTTTTATTTGCAATTAATATTTTTATAATTGTCAGATCCTTAAGAAAAAAATTGATTAGTGTTTCAATAAACTGATTAACTCTATCAATAACTGATTATACTGCATCAGAAATTGATGAAATATCATCATCTACTGTTAAACAGTTTATTGAAACACTAATCAGTTATTTTTCTTTTCTTCAATTTTTAATCTTCTTTGTACAAGATTTCGTAGAAACTTTGATGTTACATAAACGCCGTTTTTTATCCGTACACTTATAGGGCTTTACATCGGAAGGGTCCTTTCCGCAAGAGACGTACTGCTTCTCGTCGGGAAACAAGATTGCCAAGATCCGCGAAAAATCTGCGAAGGCCTGATTCGTTCTAAAGAGCGGAAGGACGTTTGGGTGGCGTTTGGGTGGCGTTTGGGTAATAAAATGTTGAAACGACAAAGGCAGCGAAAGGATGAAGAGCAAGGACTGAGAAAGACGAGATACCCACAGTTCCGTACGACGTTGGCTCAAAGGAAATCGAAATGCGTCGCGTCATTTCGTTACCTCGCTTTCCATTCCTTCCCTTTACTTTCCACCTTCACCCTCGCGTTTTTCCTCGTAAGAGTGGCGCGATTCCCCTTGAACGTAATTTTCCGGACATTCGATCGATCGGATTTCGCTTTCGTTTCTTGTTTTGCGTTTTATATGCTTCCACGAATTCTCCAATTTGCTTGTCAAGTTATAAATATATGACAGAGATGAAAAAAGGATAAAGATGGAAGTAATTTCGTAGAAAAATTATGTTTTACTTATATGTATTATGCAATTTGTTGGCACTTTTTAAATTTTCAAAGTGTGCAAGATTCTCAATACCTTTTTTAAATTCTAATTAATAAAGTCTTAACGTCTTTTCTAGAATCTCTTCAAATTTCATTAAGTCCAAATTATCACCTGAGATGCGTTGACATTCTAGTGACGAGAAAATATAAATTGTAAAATATTATTTTTTATGGATATTGATTAACATATAACATTTTCTTTCATTTTTAATAACTATTTCTTACAAACTTTTAAATATGCAATCATATAAAAATTTCGGTAAAGTTTTATATTAATTAAAACCTTTATTTTTTAAAATATTGATATAATAAGGTATAGATTTATTCTGTTTAATATTGTATTTATCTGATTTCTACAATACATTTTTCCGGAAAATTGTAATTAAATCGACATCCATAATATTCTCAAATACTCATAAATCGGAAAGCAAATAATAATGTAATACAACATATGTTGCTCATAATCGTCATTTCAATTGGGGTGTAAAGATCTCAAATGTTTACGTAAAAA